CCCCAAATCTCAGTCAAGGCTTCAAGTCACCTGAATTTCCTGGCTCATCTTGGACACAGGGGAAGCACAAGTTTGTAGGTAGAGGTGTAACTGGTAAAAGGCCATTCAGGGAGGCAGCAATGGAGCTACCACAGTTCCAATGGGGAGCTGGCCCTGCCCTCAGCATCAGCACCCTTCTGAGCCCAGGGAGAGTGAAAAGAGAGAAAAACATAGCAATTCACACTAAGCCTTTAGCCCAAACAGCACCCTTAGTCAGCCTTTGGATCTGCAAGTTCAAGTCTCTGGAAGTTTTAGATCCCAGGTTCAATATTAACAAGTTACCTGCCAAGGGGATTTTCCCAAAGGGAACACAACCCACAGCAGGTTCAGCTGTGTGCTGAAGGTCTTGGCTCCCATCAAACACACCATCAGTTTGCTGCAGCAACTCAGCCTAAACCACTCCATGGCACTGATGAAGGTATTAAACAGCACTGGTCACATCCTCCTTGCTAAAGGAAAATTACCTTTAAGTTTGTTAAAACAAATTTAAAGAGAGAAAGTTGAGACTTCAGGGTGCTTTTCCAGTCGACACACCCCAGTTCCATACACTGCTGCCTGTCCTTGAGCCAGGAAATTGGGCTCAAAGAAACAATTTCATGGCATCTCACGAGTGTGTTGGAATGATTTCATGTTCACGCCACAGTCAGAAATGCAAACTCTTTGCCAACACTAACCACTGTTATTAAGAGGCTTTGGGGACGTTAATTAGTGTTGTGTTGATGATGATCCTCCGACGATCCCAGCTGGGGAAGGAAGGGCAGTGAGGGACAGTGGGCACAGCACAGCGACCACACACCCCATTGTCTGTGTGCTCGGGAAGGGGAGGATACAGCTGAACATTCCAGAAGAATGGACACTATGCAGATCACATTTTAGGACTCTCCTTCTTACAGAACCAGACAATGAGCTGGAGTGGTTGGAATTTGAGCACCTTGTGAAGCCTGGAGACTGTTCCTGCACAGGGAGGGTTCTCAGCTCCCTCTCTAAGTCACAACCAGTCAAGACATCCAAGGCACAGAAATGTCTCTTCCCACCCTCTTTCTGGATTTTTTACCTCCACCTTGACACTTACCTTAAGATCAACCAAGAGCTGAACAAACAAGATTTATAGTCCTGAGCCAAGCAAGGCAAGGGATCAAATTGAGAGGCTCCCTCAGAGCAACACGACCTCCCACTGACACCTCAGATTTCAGCCCTGCTCTGCCCAGACCTGAGGTCCCTACACCACCAGCTCTGGCAGCAGGACTCACGTGCTCCCAATTAATATCCAAGCACCTGACACAGCATTCAGTATTTTGCCTGTTCTGAGCTTTACTCTCTAACTGGAGCAGCTTGACAAAACATTATGCTGGACAGAGGAGAAAGAAAAAGCAACGCTGTACTCACACACAACTGAATTAGGTCCAAAATTTTGTTTCTAGATAAGAGTAGGGATTTTGATGGGGCCAGTTCAGTGCTTTCCTAATGCTCTGTTATGGAAAGGAGAACAAAAACACATCAAATCCCTGTAGAGCTAGGAGAAGTAACTAGTCAAGGAATAATAAAGACAGGAGGGAGTTGGAGGAAAGATAAAGAGTGGTGGGGTTTTTTTCCCCTAATCCTACTGACACATTTATTAAGCCCTTAGATTTGCGTGCATGTAACACAGATTTTGTAACTTTTATGTTACTTTTATGTAACTTTCCCGCAGGAAACACTTTGTCAAGTGAACACGTGCTGCATCCTGCACAGCAAAAGCAGCAGAGCCCACACAGGAGCCTGAAGTGTCTGAGGTTTGGGGTGTCCAACCCCACCAGCCATCCTGCAGAACATCAGGGCCTGCTCTGCAGCAAGAGAGGAACCCCCAGGAAAACAGAAAGTGAACTTTCCTAGAGGGAGGAAAAGGCCATCGTGGGGAGGGATCAGAGTTCAGCTAAAACCAGTCGGGCAGAGGAAGCTCCAAGTGACTCCTTTGGCCTCACAGCCACACCAGAGCAGAAGTGAAAATGAGATCCCATTCTGGAGGGGAGTGGTGGGGGATGGACTGAAAAGCAAATCTGCCTCTTCTGGGGAAGAGCCCTGCTGAGAACAGTCCCAGGAGGAGGGAGCCACTGTTTGTGGGAGCACAGCTGAGGCGCTGGGGGGACAGAGCACACCTCCAAGCCCCCGGTTTTGTTCCCATCACGCGCTGACCTCACAAGCAAGGTCTGGCCCTCACCCAAGGCAGGTGCTCACCTTCCTCTTTGTTGTTGGTGATGTCTTTCAGCAGCTCAGTCTTCATGCAGGCGTCTTTCCTTGGCTCTCCCTTACTCAGCAATGCTCGCTAAGGAGGGGGAGACAAAACAGAAACATCAGGGTTTAGCTCCATGGTCATCCACACACATTGCATTGCACTGAAAAGAAGAGACAATCATGGACACATCCTGTTTACATCACGGGCAAACCTCCCTCTGCAAAATAAGGCCGCCAGGAAGCTGCCACCAAGGCACAGGTCACAGATAAAACACGGCAGGGCTGGCCCCAGCTGACAGCCCGAGGAGCAGAGACACTGAGCTCTGCCCGGGGCTCAGACCTCCCAGCTCTGGGCTTGGATGAGCCAGACAGATTCTGTGAGTGCAACGTGCCCGGGAATCCAGCTGAGTCAGTGCGCAGGAAAGGCATCTCCAGGAGGTGACTTGTACTCCCCCAAAACTTCTTAGGCTTTGGGTGGGGGAGGCAGATCTATCAGCCTTCTCTTTACACCTCATTTATCAACATTTCCAGCCCATGAGCTTTTGGTTGTTTTTTTTGTAGTTCATTCAAATGTACACACAAAATGCAAACCATCAGCCAGCTCCAGCTAACTCCTCATTCACAACACCCATGTTTATTAAAGTTAATCAGCTCTATTTTTATTTCCATAGAAAGTAATTTTTCTTTTTTCCTCCCCCTTTTTTTTTTATTTTTACGTAAAAAAGGGAACACCTGCTCATCTCCTCTGCCTTTCACACGCCCGGAGTCACGTTGTTAGATCAGGTTTGCAGCCTTAATACCTTCGTTTTTTATGTCGAAGTGGCGAGACTGAAAAAAAAAAGCCACCAGAACAAAACAGCAGGAAAAAAGGCACTTGCAAAAAAAAAAAATAAATAAAATGAAATAGAAGGGGTCTTTGCCTCAGCCCTGTGTTTAAGGAGACAAGCTGGTCTGGAGGCAAAGATGGTGCCTGCCCTGCAGAGCTGCCGCGTGACGAGGTCGGGTGAAGGGTTCAGCACACGCTGCCGGCGCCGCGGCACAAGAATAAACCCAGGTCAAGCCAACTGTTGTAGGGCCGGCACAGAGAGCAGATGGTGCCTCAGCCATGCAAATCACAAGGTTTAAAGCACACTGAGTGATAAAGGAAGAAAAACAACCTGCCCATCTCCCACAAAGCGAGCGAGAGAGATAAGGTGCACGCGATGTACCAGCTCCCAAACCCGGTATACCAGCTTCCAAAAGCTGGTGTACCAGCTCCCAAACCATTCCCAGCACCAGCTCTCCTGTCACCATGTGGGATTCTGTCCAGAGAGGACAGAGGAGATGGGCTTTGGTGCTGCTTTGCTGTCACCAGCCACCCTGACAGGTTTGTTTCCATGTGAACTAACAGCAATGTCAGCAGCCCCCCAGCCCCACAAGGGGCTCATCCAGCCCCACATCCCTGCAGGATGCTCCCAAATGCCTCCATCTGCAAAGCAACACACACTAAGGGAAAGGAGGGAGCACCAGGCTGGGCACGAATTCCTGGGAAAGCCTCCATCACCTCCATCAGGCCTGGAGCTGAGGGCACTTCCAGGATTGCTCCCATAACACGGAGGATGGAGGCTGTGGGGGGCTGCCTGTCCCCAGCCTGCCCTGAGCACAAGCAAACAGCAAACCTGGCCATATCTCAATGCTCTCAGCACCAGGGAACGTGTGCTCCCAGCACAGCACCTTCAGATTTTCAGCCACAGCCCAAAAAACAAGCTGTGAGCATCTGGAACCTCAGCAGAGCCCACCAACAGCCTGTAGCAGAACCTACCTCCAGCAGACACTGGCCAACAGCTGCCATCGAGAAATGATCATAAAACACAGTCCAAAGCCTGAACATAGAGCACCTTCTTTATTTATTTGTTTGCTAAGCCAATAATACACATCCTCGCTGCAAACATGAGCTTGTAAACCCTACCTCTCCTCTAGCCAGACCTCTTGTAAACTGGGAATAACTTCATTTTGCTCATGGATCACCCTGCAGCAAGACTAGTGCAAAGAGAGCTCAGAGTGCCCAAGGGCACCCCGGGCAGGGGCACCCAGGCCCTCACCACAGGCACCAACAGCAAATAAAGAGCCTCAGTCTGTCTAACAGGAAGCAGTTTGTTTTCCCAACCTTTGTTGCAATAAGGAAAGGTCTTGATATTCCTGCTGTTACACTGACTCATACGAGAAGCCCCAGGACTTCCAGTGGGTCATTCTGAGCCATCTGATTCTAAGTTTTTCTTTATTTTCTAAGCACTATCCTCAGCCCACAAATCACCCACACTCTCCCTTCCACAGAGGCGTTGCTGCTGCTCGCCCACGACGCCTGAAGAAAAGCCACTGCAGGAAACCCTGGAGTCAATCAGACCTCCATCACCCTCCCTCCTCGCTGCAGTCACCAGGAATTCAGGGCTGCCCAGGTCCTGCCCAGCTCTCAAAGCAGAACTCCCATCCCCAAGAGAGAAACCACCATTTTTTTGCTATGAGAGTACAAAAGCTGGGTGCCAAGGCAAGGCTGACTGAGGTGGCACCTCACGGGCCCTCCTGTCTCACAGACACATCCCTCGCCACCAACGGCAGCGTCACAACTTCCCAACAAAAACTCAGCGTCGAGGCAGAAAACAAAGTAATAATTAAAAAATAAATAAATAAATAAAGAGTCAACTGTGAATTTTGAAGCATTTTGATCAAAGGGAAGCTACAGGAAACCCCTGCAAAGCCCTCGAAGCCTCTTCCCCCCAGGCCAGAGCTCTCCCCTCCATCAGCACCCAACCCCGAGGAGCACCCACGGGGCACCCACCCATTCATTCTCAGCGGCCCCACGGCTCCACCCAGCCAACTTAGCACCAACTCCACCGCAAAGTGTCAATACCTCCATTTTTTTGGGGGGTGTGGGTGTGGGTGTGTGTGTTGGTTTTTTTGCCCTCCCCTCCCTTAAATCCAGAGCAAACTTCCCTTTCTGCTCACCCTCCCCATGCCCCATCCGTCCGCTCCCGATTGGCAGGGAAATCCTATACCCACCCTCCCCGCCGAGAAATGTCTGCTCTTGCAGCAGTCCCAACAAAGCCAACTGCCAAGCACACGCTGCTTCACAATAAAAGTCTCACTCGCTCCATTTATTTTTTTCCTCCTTTCCCCCTTTCCCGCAGCCGGCTGCCTCCATTCCCTCGCCGACCCCAGTGATTATTAACCATCCGTGGCTGGAGAACCTCCACAAAGGGTACACACCACCAGCCATGAAGCATAATTGCCCCCCCCTCTCCCCTCAACCCTTTTAATTTTAGGTTTCAAGGGGCAGCAAAAATTAGTGCATCTGAAGAAAGACTGATTGGGTCTTTGAAAGGGCTTTAAAAGCCATGAGGAGCCAAGCAGAGGAGCTACTGCTGGTTTAGTTTTTCGCTCTCTGCCTCTGTTTACAAGAAAACAGGCTTCCTCTCCTCCATGAGGTCTTGGGAGGGGATGGAAGACAGGTCTGACCGGCCAAGGGAAGGCTCTGCAGCATTTCCAAACAGATGACGACTAGAAGCTACAGTGGTGCCTTTAAAACACAAAAAAAAAAAACAAAAGAGCCCACCAAAAAAAATAAAAAAAGGAAAAAATAAAAAAGGAAAAGAAAGAAGAGCAAAAGAACAAAGCTGGGAAACACAGAAAGAGCTTTCTCAGCCTCCTCCTTGGCATTTTCATCAGCCATCCGGGTGCCCTTCACAAAGGTCCAAACAGGTTTTATAGGCAAAGACAACACATGCACAGCAAAACTCCAACATATTGCAGCTTACCCAGCCCAGGGGACCAGAGTTACATCATGAGCCCGAGCTGTGTCCTCTCCCAGCAGCCCGGGCAGGAGCTCAGGCTGAGGTGCCAAGATGTCTACCTTCACCAGGGTCTTTTTTTTTTTTTTATGTCTTAAAAGTCAACGGTCTGGGAACCCGAGGCTTCGCAGAGCGTTACGTGAGCGGAGCTGAGCAGCTACAGCAGGTCGAGCTGGAAGAGGGCTGGGAGCAGGACACCCCTCAAACTGCCCCTTCCCATCCAGGGCAGTGGGGTGCACCAACAGCTCTGCCCCCAGACCCAGTGGGATGGACAGCACTGATCCTGCCCATCCTCCAGCAGGGAGGTGACACCAACCCCTCCAAGGTGACACCACCGGGCCCTGCTCCCCACACACAGTCAGGACACGGCCCCAGGGAAAGCTCCCACCAGCCCAGACTGCAGCACAGCAGAAGCAAAGCTCTCAACAAATGATGCAACCCCAGCAGCAGATTCTTATTCACTCATTTTTTCCCTCCTTCTCCTGGAAAACAAAAAAATAAAAATAACGCAACCCGAACCAGCCTGCTCACAATAACCTTTGCCTTAAAGAGAAGACAAACATTTTGTAGTTAATTATACAGGAAATAATGATGAAGAGAAGGCTTGTAGAAAGAGAGTGTTTCCTTTGTAGGCACAGGGAGGCTGCTCATTTTGGGTCTGGGCGCTGCTCAGGTCCTGCTGTGCATGGGCAAGGCCTGGGATGAGGGCTCGTGGGGACGCTGACCACGGGCCTGTCATTAGAACCAACAGCAGCATTTGATCTGGAGAAGGAAGGAAGCACAACCACCAGCACACCCGGCCTACAAAGCAGTCACCAGCCTCAAAGCTCCTTTTTTTTTTTCCAGGTAAAGGCCACACTTCCTTATAAGCCCCATGCAATCATGTGAACATGGAATTTTATCTGCAGCTCACGACAAGCACTGCCCTCAGCCTGAAGTTTGTCCCCAAATCAAATTCTTTGCAGTTCTTTTGTCTCCTGGATTCCTCTCACCCGGACTCTTTCCCATAGAAAAGAAACATTTCCTTCTCAACCCCCATGTCCTCTCTCCCACTGCAGCCACACGCAAGTCAACTCCCAAAAAGGGGGACTCGTAGAAAGAGGCACAAGTCCCTGCATGCAACAGCTGGGAACACGGAGACACGTGCATGAAACACAACAGGACTTAAAGTGATTTCTCTTAAGACAAGGCATTCCACGAGGGCGTGCAGGCTTCAGGCAAGGGGGGTCTGCAGAGCCCGTGCCCTCCTGGAAAGGGGAGATCAATTTACACTTCCTCACGGCTTCCAGGCCGGGAAGCGCCGTTCCCATCCAGCTGCATCCCAGTAGAGTTAAAGCCAGTGCAACTTGTATGTGCAGGCAAGTGTAAATCCAGAGCAGACAAAGGCATCCCCTCCTTCCACGGGCTGAGGGGAGCAAGGAGTCCAGCTGCTCCTGCCTTCTCCTGGCACCCGGGAGGGGAAGGAAGAAAACCCTAAAATGGAGACCAAGATTCATCACTATCTCCAGCAAAAGCAAACCAGCCACTTCAGAAACAGCCAGTCCCCAGGAAGGCCGAGCCAGGACAAAACCATAGCACCAAGAGGAGCCTGGAGCAAGCAGATTCCAGCAGATTCCAGTGATGGGGAGCTGGAAAGCAGCTCACCCCCATGGAAGGGGCTCAGCTACCTCTTCAGCCTCCACGCTCCTCTTCCTCCCACCCTCAAATCACCACAGCCAGCGGCGCAGCTCCTTCTCCCCCTGCCCATCCCGATGGCGCCCCAAGGAAGGGCACATGGGGCAGCAGAGGAGGGAAAGCCCCCCATGGGCTTCCCATGGGACCACGAGGACCTGGCTCAGCTGCCCACACCACCTCCACCTGGGTCACCTCCAGCCATGGAGCGGCCCCGGAGCCTGCGAGCCGGGAAAGCGGGCAGGGAGAAGGGGGGGAAAAAAAGAGACAAAATAATAATAAAAATAATCATCATCATAAAACTTGCACCCTCGGGCCTGTCCCTCTAATAACTACAGCAAAACCTCACCAAGGCCTTACTCTCCTGGAGGGCGAGAAAGCGACACAGCGCTGCCCAGCACCCGAAGTCCTGGAGGTGGGAGATCCTCACACCCTCTCCTCCATGGCCTACGGGCTTCGTCCCCGGCGTGGGGCCTGGTTTTTCTGCTCTGTCATTAAGAGTGGAGCCTGGTCTTTTCCTTCAATCCCAAGAATTGCACGGAATTAGATCATCTTTCTGGCTCGCCTCCCCCTACAGGCAGCTCCCGAGCATGCTCAGCGCGGCCGCGCTGCCATTTCATAACCGCATTGTTTACGGACACACGGACCTGCCATCTTTTGACAGGGACACAGGGCCCCTGTCCCTCCCCAGCGCCCCCAGGCCCCGCCACAAACACCCCCCTGGGGGAAGGCACGCTGCGAAAGCATGGAGAGCAGCAGCCTGGAGGGGTTATGGTGGTGGTTTTGCTGTTTTCTGGTTGGCTTTTGTTTCTTTTTTTCCTTCCCCCCCCCTTGATTTAGGTCAAAATCCACCTGCTTTGGAGCCCCCCGTGGGGGGCTGAGGGGCTGTGGGGAGGAGAGGTCTCGCAGAGCTCGATGCAAAAAGCCAGCCATGATTTTTTAGCTTCTTCGAGTCACAACTGTGCTTCGATGTCACCTAAAAATATAATACCCAGCCCAGTCTGCCATCCTCTGCCGAGCCTTCCTCTGTGAGAAAAAGGGTTGGAAATACGGTATTTCCCTTAAATAAACAAGTTGGCTTAGTCCCAGCACATAGAGTTTTCTCCTTTAAATGCAAACCAGAGTATTTTTGCAGGCACACAGGAAAATGAGGAGAGGAGGAGGGGAAATGTTCCTCATTTAACACCAAGAACTCCATGAAAAGCCTTGCAAGGTTGCTCGGAGCCCCGCTCTGTTCCAGCCCTTTTCCCGTCTGTGTTGATCATACTTTACAGGTGAAAGCAGCTCTGACTTATGACAGAGAGAAAATGCCAGAAGAGCTGGAGGTTTCCTCATCCTTGGAACAAGGACAAGTTGTGAAAAGCTTCCTTTGCAAGAGGCACTGTGCTGCTCCAGCACAGTATGGCAGCGTTGCAGGGAGGACACTTGCACGTCAGATCTTCTTAACCCCCACTGCCTCGACCCTTGTCCGTGTCCTTCCCCCTCCTGATGGGGACTGAAGGAAAAGGATAAATAAATTACCTGGTCTGGGGGAAGCAAGCTGTTGAGTTGGGAGTCCAGAATATTTTTAAAAAGCTTGCTCTACATTTTTTCCCCTCTATTTTTAATTTGCTTTCAGGACATTTTCCAATTAGCTTGTACAGTTTGAGAGCTTCGCTCCTGCTGCTTTCCTGACTACTGTAAATCCTGGCAGGCAGTGCTGCCCACTGCCCATCCTCCTCCTCTGCCTCCCTCTAGCACCAAGATCATCCTACAGCAAAGCCAGACAGGCATCCCCCAACCCAAGAGACCAAAGAGCTCCCACAGACACAGGGAGGGATGGATCCCTCCAGAAACAAGGCAACGTGAGGGTCTGCAAAGAGAAGTTGGTGTCAAAACTCTAAATTCAGAGGAGTATAAAAATAACTGGCTGAAAACGCTGGTTAAGGATTACAAATTCAGGATTCATTTCCAAGCCTCTGACATTCCATGTCACTGCAGGAACATATGGTCCTCCAAGGCTCCCAAGCAGGGAGCACACGCCATCAGTGCCCCGAGCCTTCCGAGTGACCCAAACTCACGGTCACCCTCCCGCTGCGGCCATTCCTCGACCGCTCCCGGCCCCAGGAGCGGGAAGGTGAGAAGGAAAAACTTCAGGGAAAGGCAGCAAAAAGGAAAACAAAAGAGGAGCAGCAAGAGTCAAAGCCAGCCCTCCCCCAGACCAGCTGGCCAGGAAAGCGAAGCTCCTTAAAACTCCTTGTTTACCTGAATAAAGCAACTCCCTGACAGCGCAGGAGATGAACGCTCTTTCCTTAGGAGATGGCACCGCATGGGAGAGGTCAGGGAGCCTGGCAGAAGGAGCCTTGGGATGACCACTGCCACCCAAGCCCCCAGGTCATGGAGCTGCCCCTGCTCCCCTGCCCAGGGCTGGTTTCACAGGGGCTGAGCAGCAGCAATATGCCCCATGTGAGCCACAGAGCCCAGCTCTGCCCCAACACGCTCCTGGACGAGGGGAAGAGCTCATGGAAAACACTGCAAAGTGCATTAAACACATGGATCAGCCCGAACCCAAGACCTGAAGGCCCCACGTCGGGCTCTTAACCCTCGCCGAGGAGCAGCGCCAAGCCCAGACCTCGGCTGCTCTCCTCCCTCCAAAGTAGGTCAGGCTTTTCTGCAGCTCTGCAGAGGCTTTCAAAGGGCCCTGGCCGGCAGGGACGGAGTGCTGGGTGCTGTCAGCTGCTGTCACACCGGTGTCACCGTGTCACCACCTCACAGGAGCACACCTTGCACACCTCAGCGCATTTTTGGTTGTCTCCTCAGCCTTCATCGAGCCCAAAGCCCATTTTCTCTCTCAGGCAGCAGGTCAAGGCCTCTGTTAAAAAGAAATCTCATTTCTCTCCTCGTGGCTTCTGAGGCCCTCTCCTTTCGCTCACATCTTCTAGATGATGAACAATGAGTGCATTTATAGTCCAGTGGAGACACGACAGATATTTAGATTAGGTGTCACAGATTGTCCCATAAGCTCCCTGATCTTTTAAATGCCATCTTCACATCTTGCTCCTCGATTGAAAATTCAATATTGTGTCTTCAGGGCAGCTTCAGGGGTCTCCCTGGAGCACAGCAAGCTCAGGACAGTGTTTTGTAGGGGTGCCCAGGCTCCCCACGGCTCTGGGACCTTCGGTGTCCATCCCAAATCCCAGCGAGGCCTGTGGCAGCCAACTGAGCTGTCTGCACATAACACAAACCACAGTAAAAAATAAAAATAAAAATAAAATCCCATGGCAGGGCCAGGGCCCTGAATTTTAGGCAACTTTTAAAATATGTTGCAGACTTGGGCCTCCTGCCATGAAATCAACCACTGATGTTTCATTTTAACCAGCTGGTCCCTTGGATTTCATTGCTACAATGTAAAAAAAAAAAAAAAAAAAAGAAAAGAAGAGAGGGGAGGAAGTCACCCCAAAATCAAAAGGCTTGTTTCTTCCTGGTGAAATACTGTTGCCTCTTGCCTCCAGCTGAGAAAATGAGCCCCAAGCAGAAGCTGTCAAAGGAGACCTAGTGAGGAGGTGCCATGTGGCCACAGGCCCTCTCCTCCCCTCTGGAAGTTCTGTCTTCAGTCAGCTCAGACACCCCAGGCTTTGCTTACAAGAGCTACAAGAGCAGGGAGGGCTCCTGGGAGAATTTTCCAGAAACTTCACCCTTAAAAAACTTCTAAAAGCGCAAACCAACCCTAAAAATACACGAAAACCCCCAACCCCGAACGGGCCTCCCCACCCTAGAACACAAATCAAAGACCACCCCCGGACGCGAGGAAACAAAGCCCGAGGTTTCCCGGAGCGATGTCGGATGCTGAAAGACCCAGGAGTCCATGGCACAGCACCTGGAATATCCATCCCAGCGGGAAGGAGCCCGGCCGGTCCCCGCGCGCCCGCCTGCCCTCCCGCGCACAGGGCGGCGAAAGAGAGGAGCATCGAAGCAAATAAATAAATAACTAAGCCCAGCCATGATCCCCCAAACTCTGTTCCTCCTCTCCAAGGCCTCTCCTTCCCCAGCAGGAGACAAGCCTGTCTGCCAGGGCCGGCGGGGCCGCGCCGGGCGCGGGAGGCTGTCGGACCCTGCGGTACCTGCGGGCAGCTGTTGTCTTCTTCTGGTGAAGACTCCAAGAGTTGCATATTCCAGATCCTCATGAGCAGTGATTCAGTTTCTGCTCATGTGATAAAGCTCCCTCTACAGAGTGAGCATGCCCAGAAGAGCCCATTTCACTGCTCCCTCCAAGCTGCAGCCATTTCACACAGAACCTGCCGGCTCCAGGGCGTCCATTGGAGCGCGATTATCCCGGGCATCCCGGGGACGCACCGGCAACGCAGATCATCTGTCAACTTTCTGACAGGGCGCCAGGCCTCAAAACTGATCACTTGCCTGAAAAAAAGAGAAAGCTCTTTAAACCATAGGGCGAGGTGTGCCTGTCTCGTGGCCTTCAAGAGTAGCACTTGTGCGTGGGAAAAGGAGAGGAAGGAGGGATGGAGAGGGATTCTCCGTGGCTTGGGGACGCTCCCGTGCTGATTTTGCTGTGCTTAACAAAGCCCTCAACCTCAGAGCACTGGGATGAAGGCACATGGGTTAAACTGATGCAGTGAGCAGTGTCCAACTGCAAGTGCATTCAAGATCAGAACTGCTGAGCCAAAGGGGAGCTAATTTTCACTTTGGGGATTAATGAGACAACTTGACCTGGTACAACTGACCTTAAAAGGGTATCATAAACAGAGCTGTTGAAAAGTGCTGTGGGAGAACGAGGGGACACCCTCATGGATCCATCCTCATCCTCACCCTAAAGAAGGGATAGTGCACTACGAGGTGCAGGAGCTCTGAGCTCAGCCTATGCCAAACCCTACGATACAGCTGGCCCAGTCAGCAAGATAAAAGAAGAAATTCTAGCTTCAAAATAAAAGTAGTTTGTCTCTGTTCCACTTAACAATTAAGCATAAACTCTTGGCAATCTTCATATCTGCTCAAGCTCCCAGCAAAACTGCCAGAGGAGCTCACAGGAACATCTGCGAGCAGAGATCGGCTGGAAGGGATTCAAGCAAGGCTGGCATTTATCAGAGGCAGGAGCAGGAGGCTGCTGGAGCTGGAGAACCTCCCCCCGAGGAGGGGGAGGGCGGCCACAACTCCAGAGAAGAGGCCAGGAGGAAGAGGAAACTCAGAAATGGCCTGTGGCACCACCCGTGTGCTCTTGGCCAAAGGGAAAACAGTTTTCCCCAAGAGAAGAGCACAGAGGATCGTCCTCTTTAAGAGCCAGAGTTCTCTGTAAGAGTAGAAATCCAAATGAAGACGAGCAGAGTGTGATGTGTCACAGTGAGCTGGGGAGGGCAGGGAGCAGCCTGCACTGTAGAGAGGGAGAAGGCCATCCAAATCCACAGGGAGGTTTTGAGGAGCCCAAGGAGGATGTTTGCCCTGCCCCAGCACCCAAGGCAGGCAGGCGAGTCCAGGCCCTCAGCCATGGCCTGCTCTGCCATCCCCTCCTCCCTGCAGAGCACAGAGTACCAAGTCCTGCCAGGCTGGAAACAT